CTTCTCCGGCACAAGCTGTTTCATAATAATTAAAAAATAAGGTCCAGAACATGATAAAGCTAAGAAGTGTCACACAGTATTAATCTTGATATGGAAATGGACACATTATTGCTATTATTTAAAGGAGTAGGAGTATTTACTACAATAAATACATCAATAACTCTTCAGGCTTTCTTTTATTCCTGAAAAGCTAATATTAGCACCATCAAGAAATCCTAGTTAACTTTAACTTTAGTGGATTGTTGAGACATTGTTACTGTTCAGCATTACTTGTAATGGTATAAATTAAAAGCCAGATTCATTCTCTGTTTAAAATATATAAGGAACAAAAGCTTGAGACTCATTTTAAAACAGTGCTTGAAGATGTAAATGATTTCACTAACAATGTAAATTATTGTATTTTGTATAATGTATTCACTATTAATGTTAAAATCTTTCATATTCAGGTTTTAATTGTTGAATAGAGGTCTTCTGAATGTTCATCATGGAAATAATATTCCACAACAATATACTGCTTGCAGCAATTCCGCTTAGTTCCTTAGCAACTAATGACTAAGTTCTAGGTTTTCAATAGCCGGGAAATTATCACGTTTATTACAGCTAGGGGAATAAAATAATATACCTCACTGCTGGACAGTGGGAGCAATTTCATTTTTTATGATTAAAGTTAATTATTTTGGGATTGCTAGGTCAGAACCCCATAGAATAACCGTTAAAAGCATTTTATTACCGATAGTTCAGCCTTAATATGCATTGCATGGAAAAGCTGGGTATAGATCAATATCTAATAAGATACATTGCCTGTGAAAAAGCAAGATAGTGAGAAAGTGTTATTGATTTTGCAAAGAAAAAATATTTTTCGCCCCCCAAAAAACTGCAAAGGAACATGATGGGACATGATATATTTTCACTTGGCAGCATGTATGGGAACAAACATTTCACAGGGAAATAAATGCAAATAAACGATGCATTCCGGTAGCCTGTGTAATACACATTCCATGCAAAACCACAGTTTATTTTATTCCCACCAGTCAGTTCCATAGTTATGACAGCAAATTCCCAGTGGTTATTAGTTCATGAGAAGAACAACAACATGTACACATTTTTTGTGTGCATGATTCTGAAATGATTTTAATACATCTTCCCTTCGAAAAGTCTTTTACAGGCTTTTCATTAAATGGTATGATGATACCAGTATTTTACACTAGCTTTGTAAAATACTCTGTCACAACAGAGATATATACATCTATAAATGTATAATACTGAATTTTGTTTTACAGCCAAATAAAAATTTTGGCCACAGGAAATACTGTTTTTCTCAGCTTGGTTCCCTGAGCCCTAATACATTAAGTGGGAAAATAAACAATACTCCACACAAAAAAGGCAGTGACAGACAAAGTCAACAAACTGATTCAGAAGAAAATCTCAGCTGCAGGAAAGCTGCTTTGTCAATGAATTACTAATAAGGAGAGCTGTAACAAAGGATAGACAAAAATAAAATTAGTGTAAGGGTGATGCTTACACATACTGTAATACACTTGATTCTTTACACGGCCATTTATACCTACTGAAATATAGACCTTATAACTGAGCAGCTTTCCAGTATAATATCCCCATGTATCATATTAGCAAAACTAAAGAGAGGCCTTACAAACAGCACTGATCATTGCCCATGCATTCCACTTTCTCATTAAAAACAAAATACAGTACCACCATCAAGGTGACATGGTTTTGTAGTGGTTAGTATTGCTGCCCCTGGGGCGCTTTCTGCATTGATTTTGTACAGTATGTCCTTCCCATACTTGCATGGGAATGTCTCTGGAATTTCTAGATTCCTTCCACAGTTTAAAGAGACACAGTAGTGGTAGGTTAACTGGCTTCTTGGAAAATTGGCTCCGGCGTGAGTGTGTGCCTGTGTGTCTGTCATACAATGGACTGGCATCCAATCCAGGGGGTGTATCCTGCCTTGCACCCTTTGATTGTATCCCCATGACCCTAAACTGGATGGATGAAGTGGTCAGAAAATGGATGCTATGATACAAACTGTGAACCAAGTTTTGTACCATACCTGAAACATCTTCATATTTGTCTCAATGCCTGAAGAGTGCTGATGCCTAACAGCATGAAAATATACAGCTTCATTACAAGCAAGAACCAAATTTTAAAACGAGCAGCAGTTTGAGCTTTAACCGTGTATCTTTAGTTTCTGAAGATCACATCTCAAAAATGGCTAAATGTTAATATAAGAGCTTGTTGTTAAGCAACAATATAAAACAACTATAAAAAACCTATTAAACAAATTGGTTTGTACTTGTACTTGCCCTTTTAAAGCAATGCTTAAACAATTTTATAAGTGGCATTTCCTTAATGGATTATAATTACATGATAGCTTATATATCAATTGACGTTTAATGATTCTTATGAACCCGAGCAAATTTGTCATGTTATCACTTTGCTAAGCTAATTAAGAAATACCCCTGGTACTGGTAATAAAACAATGGATGCCATGGTGTGCACTTTGTAGATGAAAACGGAAAGCTGGTAAGATTGGGCACCACAGCATATGATTAGATCAATCAATTTGCTATATGGGATTTTGGAATGATTAGATTTTCCCCATGTGTGACAGGGTGGCCTGTATGTTTCTTTATTCTTGAATTTCTTTATTTCACAGATCTCTCCTGTTGCTATTATGTTTAACTGTATGTATAAAGGATTTTATATTCAGGTATTCCCTGTCATAAAAGTATTGCAGTGGAACCCCTTACATGAGTTTCAAATATGGCCACCAGGACCATATCAGAGTTAAAAGATGGATGATACTACCACATCTGCAGAAATGAGATGAATGCTAATCTTGGGGGTAAAGGTTACATTGGTCTTAACTAAAATGCACATGATACAGTATGTTATACTGTACCTTACTCCATCAACCAACCACCTATTTTCTAACTGCTCCATCTAATTCAGGGTTGCAAGGGAGCCAGAGCCTATCTCACCAAACAATACGTGCAAGGAAGGACTTATCCTATCGTACTTAATTCTGTTATTTTTGTGTAAGTTTATATTACCTGTGATCAAATGCGGGTAAATGATTATTAATGTTGTGTTTACACTGATGACAATTCTTTAGTATCCTATTCATTTTGTTATAGTATGCATGAGAAATGTTTCTTTAAACGAACATGACCATAAGGGACACTGTTTTGTACACATAACTATGGAAGAGATCATAAGGTGGTTGTCAAAGGAGCTCCTAAGAGATGCTAGCAAATGATGTTTGTTTTGAGGATTTTTTTTAATTTAGCTCAAAATTCTGGAGTACATAGTATCCTTCTGGGAAGCTGAAACCAGTCACATGTCCACTGACACCAAAGCAAAGAAACTGATCGTTGCTACCAAGGGTCAGTGTTCCTGAGGCTGATAGAAAACAGGCTGCTAATGAGAAATGTGATAGCCTATCACCACAGCAAGAGCTGATATTAGAGTTTAACTTTAAAGAGTCATTTGTCATAAACTGTCAATATTGCAATTTATAAGGCAGCACAGCCAAAGGAAGAGGACCAAACTCATCGTCTGCTCAGAGTCACACAAGTATTAATCTCATAAAAAGGCTAAATGAAACCTATAAAATGTCAGATATACTGCAGATATTAAGGCCCTGAAAATCACACCACCTGCCTCTATCATCTTCAGTGAATACCTTAGCAAATAAATTGCAGAACATGAAGGTGTCAATCCAAGGTGTTGTACTGAGAGCAATGTGAAAGATGTGTATACGAACACATTTTGACAGACAGAAGGCCTTAACACAAATACTTTGCTAGTGCTATCATTTGATACCTTATTCAACAAGCCAAACACAAAACTCAACAAAAGCACCATGATCAAAATAGTCTTTATTTCTTGTTTTTGGCATGAAATTAATTAATTATATGCGCATATCTATGTGCATATAATTCCCTTTTCTTATATGTTAGAATCTAATATTTTGACTTATTTGATTTGATTTATCTCCCCTAATTCTGATCAATGTGTTTCCTACTATTGCCACCTATTTACAGTATAAACTGCAGGATTGCTTGCCCTTAGTATTGCTTTTAGAAAAAGAATCCATGAGATGGATCCTTTACAAAACAAACCTAAGACATTAGCACCCTCATCAAAATTAGATGGCAACCTAATGTCAATATATGACCACTTTAACTACCATTATTAGTTCTAGTGCTGAAATCTGCACATTCTGTAACAAGGTTACACTATCACAGTACAGTGATTTGCAATTACTTTGAGCTGGATATTTGGGTGCTTACACATTTCCTTTGTTATTGGTATTTTTCTCTTTGTTCAAAATCAGGCAAATGTCTGTTGCTTTAAATAAAAAAACAAATTTAACTTTCAGGTGGATTTGGAATACAAATCCTAATTTTTGGAATTTTCTTGATTTGGTTATCCATAAATGGGCATTTTATTTGAATACATAAAACACTGCTGTTGCCGATGCTATGGCTATCAGACAAATAGAAATGGTTTTTCCAATGATAAAATCTCAGATTTAAAGGAAAAATGCAAAAATGTGTTTGTACCAATAACCCTGTTCAGGAAGACATGCAACAATAGACTAGCAAAAGCGCTCAAAAGCATAAAGTTTATTCATAAATAAAAGTATATACTGTACTGTACATCCCACATTTCTTGAAAGAATACTTTACTAAGCCAGTCAGAATGCTTGCTGCTCAATCTTTCTGACTGTCCAGACGTTTGATTACATTTTAATTCATGGACAATGTCTTCAGAAATTAGAAATAAAACGCATCATGTTGTATAGTTTTGTAGTAATATACTTTTAGGTTGCATTAAAATAAGCTGCTCAAAATATCTACACAAAACATAGCTGTGTAGTCCTTAGTATTATCAAGGAATTATTGTGAGAGGTGTTGCACATACTGTAATTATCTACATGAATTATGTGCTTTGTGGAAAGGAAAAAAAAAACTTACATGCAAATTGCAAAGTGGCTTCTCTGCTGATTATAGTTCCAAATGCATTGGATGCTATGCACTGGTATGTTCCCGCATCTTTAACTTTATTCAGGTGAGTAATTCGCAGGTTTCCTCCAAAGAAACTATAGCGGGAATCCAATTTGGGGTCAATGGAGGTGCCATTTAACTTCCACCTAGAAACCACACAAAAAGAAACACAAGTAAATAGAAATAACATTACAGAGAAAATATATGTACAGTACATATTAGTGCTTAAAACATACTTTTCAAATTAGAAGCAGTCGAGTTTATGATGAAAATCTTCAGCATTAGCGCTGAGGAAGAAAGATGTAAGTGGTAAAATATTCATGAAGACAATTTTGTTAGTAAGTTATTTTTAAATGCTCTGCTATCTACACAGAAGCAGGACAAAAGGTTAACTCTACTTTTAAGGCTGATTATAGTATGCAATTCTAACAGTTCTTATTTCTGTAATGTCAGAGGCTAAAATCAAACATTATGCTACTTTTATGGGAACTGTTTCGCAGACTTTCCGAGCAGCTTCAAAAAAGGATTGTTTTCTTTGCAAGTGAGATGCTACAACAATTTCCTGTTGTGATAACCAGGATCATTATGAAACATTTCAGTTATCTGAAATATACAGGACAATGCTGGAATCATGCAGTTACATGAAAAGTTTGCAAAGAATAAAATACCCTGGTCAACTGAAAAGTGTAAATTTGAATTTTTTTCTGGGGTTTTACCATTTTTCTGCTGTAGGTCCTTGCATTTTTAAAATATATTCATTCCGCTTTACTACAGTAGGCCAAGAAAATACTCTGGTAAACTATAACACATTCCTTGGAAACATTAATCACGGAATATTATGGTATTCTCTTAATTCAGCATAGTGAAACAGTAAATGTATTCACTAAAAACAATATACAATCACATTACAAATATGGTAAAATCACTGTGATAGTGTTAAAAATCCAAAGATTTCTATATATTCAATATCTTGAAAAACACCTGTGTGATGTCATACATATATATTTCATCCCTAAATATACTTCCACTTGTCTTTTTTTCTTTTAGCCCCTGCAGAAATCAGAGGATGTGTAGAAAGAAATACATCTGGTGCACATACAGTATGTTTGCAACTAACATTATGAAAAGGATTGCAGAGCTTGCTTATCACAGTATTTTCTGCAATGTTTCCATCTACTGTAAGATTTTCTTCATGTATTTAATATTTTCCTCCAGCAAAATCAAATTCCATGTGAATGTGACAAGCTGTTTACCCCCAATAATTACTTCATGTCTGAATGCCTCTGGGTTTAGTTCTGATGTCATCGCAAACTGCTCATCAAATATCAATGGAAAATATGATTTTCTTTTGCTTACTACAGGCAACAATGGACTGGTGGCAAAAATGTATCTAATTGATGCTTACAGTATTTAACACTTTGAGGACAAAGCCAACATCATCCTTTTAGTTCTTCCAGGATTTGTGCATACTGCAAATTAGACCACCTAAAGCTTTAACCTCTACATGCCTTACCTGGCAGAGAAAAAAAAACCTTTCCATGCTAGTGCAATTATTATAGTAAATAATTAATCAAGAGAAGATGTATCCTCCAAGCATAGCCCTTGTAACTGTCCTTTGAAGCTGTATCCCTATATTTATAATAGTAGTGATTAAAATTGATGCCCAGCATGCCACTCTGTATACTCCTTTCAACTTCCTAGGAAGGATGCCAAGTTTAGTGCCATCATTCTTGCAATTCATCTAGTCATACTGCATAACAATTTGGTTTAATCATTATAAAGCAGTAATTAAAACAAATCGTTCTTCCTCCTGTTACACAGTTCTGTATTCTACACCAGACGACAATTATTATTGATGTTAGATGTAATCAGTGCTAGGTATTATTCATTCATGATGGCAGCCGATTTTTTTTAGCTCTCTGTATTTACAGGCCTCATTTTAAGGAGTGAGAAAATCAATGATGCTAAATACTGGAATGGCTTTCTAAAGTTGTGAGCCTGTAATTATTGCAATTTACATCATGCACACGCTCCATACATTTACATTTTTCATCAATAAAGCTCAAAGCTGATAAAAGGAAAGCTTTAAACAGGTGACTAAGCAAGATCTTGGTTTTTAATCATTTTTTAGAGATGGGCACTACAAATCATTATGAGGGACACGCTTATTAGTTGCTTATTATTTCTTCAGGGTGAGTGAAATAATTGATAGCCTCCCTTACTGTACTGCAGACTGTAATTCATATAAGCCATGCATGAAAAGTAACTTCAAAACTATCTTCCCCAGACCTCTTTCGACCAAATTTTATTGACTGGAGACTGGTATCCAGACAAAAACAAACAAAAAACAGCGATAAAACAAAGCAACCAATAAACATGCAACTATTTAACATGGATTTCAACATTAACTGTAGGTTAATTAACCTTATTAATTATTGTTTTTAACTTATTAAGCCATTCCAAACCACATTAATACTAAATTTGAATAGGTGTTGAAAAAATTACTTAAATTACATTTACAATAATGCAATTATCAATGTTCTTTTGTAAGTGTAATTGTAGCTGTTCAAACATTAGAAGTTTTGATTGATGTTAATAATTTCAATTAGGAGATGTGAGTGGTTTTCAGTGTGACAGTCAGTGTCACAAGGCTTTCATACAATACTTCTAAGTCCTAGACATCTAATAAATATTCTGGTAAATTGAAGAGTTGTTGTAATTTACAGCGCTTAATATATTAAATGGAAGTAATATCAAATTCTATGACAATGATAACTATATTAATGAATGATAATGATAAATATTAGGACTACAGCAATCATTTGAATGTTTTTTAAAGCGAGGCTTAGAGAACCCCTGACAGAGGTGACTAACACTTGAAATTGGAGAGCTGAAAAGAATTGGTATTGATTAATCAGTATTCAGTGGGAAGAAGTGGAAGAAAATGAATCATCATTTTCATCAGGTAAAAGAAAAAAGGATGTTTCACTTTCAGTCTCTGTTTGTTATTCTTAATCATGTGCAGATTTGTTATGGATTTTCACTGCATTACACTGGAATAACCTGGCAACAAAACAATAAAACAATTGCATGGATTCCACCCAATCAATGATTTTTGGTTTCCCCAGTACAATGAATCCAAATAACCAAAATGTTTTTATCTCTATTACACATTTAACTAAATAAAAAGGGTTACACATCTATCTTTTTAAAACTATATACTGTAAGCAAATCTGTTTATTTTATGTGCATGTGATTCAGCATATGATCTAGCAAAACAACTGTAACATTTGTAAATACTACCTACAGTACATCTAATCTCCCCACAATATCTGGCTCAGAGCTCAGCTACCCAAACGTAATGCACACAGAACAAGGATATCCAACTGCACTTAAAGCAGACCACCTCTAAATTATTCACTCCCTAGTCCTGATAAATTCTATAGATTTACGAACTACATACAGATTCCTTAATAGATTATTGTCCACACATTATTGCTGCACATGTTTGTGCATCTAAGCCTGACCAAAGCTTAATACTTCTTCACTCATAAAACATCAAGCACCAGAATTTGGATTTTGGTTAGAATTGTATTTAAAAGGCATCAGATTTCTCCATAAACTTGTCCTCACAGAGTGAAATTACATCATGACTATTAAGATATTACCATTCTTCACTTGCTGCTTGTCCTCATTCCCGTCTTGACATCTCTGGAGACCACTGTGCAAACCATCTCCATGTACCAAGTTCTTTCAACTTTTCATTAAAACTGAATATGAGAAGAGATCAAGACCTGCACAGTTGGTTTAATGCACTGTAAGCAACTGAAATGTTTCTATTTATTTTCAAAGGAAAGAAAATACATTAAATATTTATCTGGACAATGAACAATATTGCTTAGAGTATCGCGAAAGGTATTATTGATAGAATGTAAAGTGCTTTCAAATGATACCCATCATTGAGAAGTGGTGCTCAAAAGATCTCTCAATTGAAACAAAACAGCATGCTTTTATTAGGTTAACACTTTTAGGTGAGTGCTATTGATCCTATCGAGTCGAGAAAAGGTGCTAACCACTCTTAAAAGAAAATACTCTGAACTCTTCTTGCATTAATCGACTACATTTTAACAGTCCACTCTTGCCTAAAATGTAAGATTCATAAATCTTTTCAAAACTGTTTATCTACAAATGAAATAACATTCTTCAAATTTAACACAGAACCAGAAACAATCATAATAATCAATAAAGATTTTGATAACATCTATAATATTTGTCCTGCTTGACTGTATGCTCTGAGTCATAATAAGAACAAATTTTGACTTCATATGAACAGAACGTAGTTAGAAGTTCTGAGTTCATTTAATTAATGAATATACAGTATACACAACCAGAACCAGAAATTAGACTTTGAATCTTTGTTTTTAAACAGAGAGACTCAGAAGTTACATCCTAACCGGCTTTATATCCACATTATGAAACAAAGGTAAAACCTATGAAGTTGAAAAAAAAAAAAGAATGGCCCAGATATTTTTATTTACCTTGTTGCAACAATATATTGTGGGACATTTAATTCTACAATCAACACTAAACATGTTTAATTAACATTAAAAAAGACCTGATTACATAGTAAATGCTAATGTATGTTACTGGAGACAGGAGTTGTCCCAAGGGGAGAAATACAGTTGGTTTGAAGGTCACAGATCCAAAGAGAATGAGCACATGACAAATGTGTGTGATTGTTTCTTGTGTGTATGCCTTGGGTGTTAGTCTGAGAAAGAGTAAGAGTTGCCTGTCTTAAGATCACAGTTTTAAGATGCAATGAAAAGGAGTGGAGTGTTTGGTATGAGTGCTATAGATCCAGGAAAGTGCAGCATCCAGGAAACTTCAGGATATGAAGATCAAACAGTTTAGAGACCAGTGAGAAAAGAAAGTATACTTCTCTGGGTGCCATATTTCAGCGTCCTGTTTACCTTTTTAAATTGGCTTTGGAGCTACAATAATGTTTCATTTTAGGCACAAAGTACAAGGTAGTTTATGAATAACCCATTATAAACAAGAAATATATAAAAAATTGGCATTATTGATGATAAGGAATAAATTATTTACAGTATACAGTATGTGCTTTGTAAATACCACACACGAACTGTTTTTCCATAACAAGAATCTAACAAATGCCTTAGCATTTATACTCTATCTACAATTAGTGTTGGGTAAAGTGACGTTTAAATCCATTACAGTTACAAATTACTTATTTAATGGGTTCATTTCTTAAAATGAAATCAAATAGATTTTTATATTACTGTATTGATGTATTATCTTAAAAAATAACTATTTAAGATAGTTACTATACATCTATATTCTGTAGAGTAAATTATGTTCCCCTTAATCAAGTAACTTGGAACTGTAACAGATCACTTTTTTAAAACGAACTGTCTCCAATACTACCTATGATAAAGTGCTTCACAGGGAAGATGATGGTATGTAATAATGCTAACACCAGAGCAATCCATTGGTGCAGGTTTTACAGAAACATGCATATCTTTTCTTAGAGCACTGTTGTAAAGAGAAGATCATCAATATCATGAGCTGATTTTTGTTTTTCCATAAGAGACATCAGTGTGTTGTTGTGGTTACAACAGATAGTCGGTGTGGGATAATACAGTAAATGTGAGAGAGAAATAATGTTAACATTTAGTTATGCATAATAATGTTTAAACTGGATGACCTAAAGAGAAGTAGAGTGCATGAAGGTACTGAGGTCCAATTGGAATCAATGTTAGGTGAACTTGTTGAGACTTGTAGTTTCTATCAATCATGAGAATAGAATGTCTGAAGCATTATTTTTTCTTACTTTCAGTAAAGATGCAGCCTAACAGATCAGATAAGAAAGCAAATCACTAAAGCAGGGGTGATTGCCTGATTAGATTGATCTAGTGATTTTGTGTTTTAGCTGAGATGGATTGAAGTTTGAAATTACACAAATTAAGTTGGTAACCCTGTACTATTCTATCAAAGAAAAGTGGAAATAGTAGAGAGCTGCAGAAAAATGGGATGTTTATAAAACTTTACACATTGCTGAGATTTAAAACCCAAGCCTGTTTTTTTTTTCCATTTCAAAGGAGAACTATTGTATACCTGTAGCTAAGTATGCCTCTCAGCAGTGATTTCAGGAAACACCTAGAAAGTTGGGACTGCATTGCCAGGAAAGAAAAATACCATATGCAGTGGCCTTCTGCATAAAAAACATCTGTTAACTCAAGCTGAATTTATCCACACAAGAATTATTTATTTTTAAAATGGTGATTTTATTCTGATCACAAAATCTTGGTCATTTGTTGTGAACACTGATTTCTAAAACCATTTGTACTACAAAGTTATTTTATTTGAAGAAGATTTAAGTACATCCTCAGCAAATCCTCCTGATAGCCTTGAATCTTTTCTTCCTTTTTTGATTACATGATTTATCACTATTGTTGTCCATTTTCCAGTTACAGAACCTATAGCTTTATTTTTACAGACATACTTGGAATTTATGTGATAAATATCAGATGAATCAAGTAATTTCAGAGGAGTAAAAGTTTAAGATCCTTCTGTGTGCCGTTGCAAGTGAGAAAATTTTAAAACATCAAAACATTTCTATATTCTAAATAAATGTCTGTTGAGGGCAGAAAAAACACATATTTAGCATATTTTTATTACGGAAAAAACACAACCATCAGTTTTACATCTTTTTGTAATGCCCATTTGTACTGTAAGGTTAATGGTCCAAACATTAGCTGTTTCAATAACTAACCATCTCCACAAACTTTGGAAAAAAATATGAAGAATGATGTTTCATTTATAGAAACCTAATACCAAACTTTACCTTTTAATTCAATCCCTTGCTCATCAATCACACTAATTATAGTACTATCTTCCAATATGTAGCATGGTGCCATCTGGTTCATAAGTAGACAGAGTTTACTGAGAGGTTTTTTAATTTTCCATCGCTTCCTGTGCAGTGAACTGTTTCCTGAAGTCAGAAAGTATTAGTAGTATGCTGAAATGGAGCATAGAGTAATATTTTTTGTGACAATGGAAGCATCCAACTAGCATGCTAATTTGCTGGGGGTGCAGTACTGGTCTTATAAAATAGTCCCTGTGCATTTAGTTTTTCTTGACAAGAATAGAATATGTACTGTTTTGAAGGACTTGGGGATAAACATTTTAAACCTTTCTGGTCACTAAAGTGCCCATTTATGCCATCATGAAATGTTTTAAATGAACTTTGAATGCAGTTTTCCCCCCAGCCACATGAAAACAGTTCTTAACCTTTCACATGGCATTAAAGGCTTCAGTGGAGCAGCACAATATCCTTGACAGACCACTAGGACTAGGTGATCTGGTTGGCTTTTCATCTGGCAGAGTTCCAACTGCTAAATGCACCAATCCTCCTACATCTTGATTCAGCAGTTTCCTGATGGTTGATAGATACAAACATGATTGATTTAGACCTTGCTGCTGCTTCAAAATAAGGTACAATAACTTGCTAATGGTCTATTTGGCATTGCAAGTGAGAATTAAAACACCAAGTGAATCAGATTTGTTTTTGCAATCATTTATTTCTCACTTACAGTATATCTGACACCTCTCCACTCAACAAATACGTTAAACAATGCAATCTTCCTTGACATAGCACACCCATCAATTGGGCTGACACAATTGAAGTGCAACAATGATTTGAAGTATGCAGTAGAGATTATATTATGTATTACTGTATGTTATTATGATTTTCATTATAGGCATACACACGATCACAACTAGGAAAATAGATGGTAATTCTTGTTTTATTCTTGATTGCCAGCTGAATTAAATGTTACATATTTTGGCTTTATTGCAGCAGCATAGCAAAAGATAATACCATTTAACTATGAATTAAACCTAGCAATAAATGCGGGAGAAAACAAAAAAACTAATCAGATTTTATTCGTATTTTTTACCTTACAGTCATGTTTATGCTTCACAAGCTAGTGCCATTAAATGTCTTAAAATAAGTGATAACTGAAAGAGTCCTTTACTCTACTCCTACAGCATCTGTTATTCTAAAGACAAAAGTAAAAAACAGAACACAACATTAGCTTCTCAGAAGAATCGAGTCTGCTATAGTGCGGTAGTGCCCGAGTTATTTTGCTCATCATTAATTTCACATCTACTATGGGAAATCAAGTTTTTAACAATATAAATAGTTGGACACTAATAATCTTTTTCATTCTTTTCAGTTTTTCTCTATACAATTTAATTAGAAATGTTTCTTACTATACTCCTCCTTAATTTAACTCTTGAGCATGTTTCCTCTGTACAATTAAATATCCCACAGGGATAGCTGATGGCATGCACAAAACAAAAAAAAAAAACATTTAAGCATGATTTTCAATACACATTCAATCGAACCATTCTTAATTCTTGAATTACGATGACTGTGTTAAACACTGCACTTGTTCATTTTTAAGCAAATTACCCTTTTCTGTTGGCATTATACTTATATTACTGTGTGTACAGTATGTCATCGGTTACCTGTTTTTTTAGAAATTCTGAATTGTCATTTAGATTCATGTTATATATATATGTTATATATAAGGAACAAGTAATAGGTTTATTCCATGCTGAAAAAAAAGAAGAAAGAGAACACAACGTTTCGGCCGTGGAGCCTTCTTCAGGTGTGAGCTCCACGAAGGCTCCACGGCCGAAACGTTGTGTTCTCTTTCTTCTTTTTTTCAGCATGGAATAAACCTATTACTTGTTCCTTTGCAGCCTACGCATGCTGACGCAGCTACCCACCTATGTTATATATATGTAATGTGGAATCACAAATTGTCTTTCATGCCTTGATTCAAGGCTGTAAATCCTTCAACTACACATGGGGAAGAAGGAGGATTTATGGGGCAGACAACACAGCCTCGTGCTGAAGTTTGACTGGTCGAGAAGCATGTCCCTCACTCACAGCACTAGGAGCCTAGGATATCACAGAGGTCCCTGCGATACTAGGTTACAGCAGCAACAGTGCCACCTGGGGCATCACAGTTGGTCGTTGACATGGCCCAGGATTGAACCTATGATGCTTCGATGATAGAAGCACTCAGTAGACACTCAAAAGCTCTATTATGTTAGTGTTCAGGGACTTTAACTTGCAGCATAGAAAGAAAAACAAGTTAAACAATCAGTAAGGAAAAATTGAGCTCTAATGTAGCTCTTTTTACCTGTATAAAGGTGGCGGGTTGCCTTCAGCTTCACAATTGAAAACTGCCTCCCTGTTCCCCAAGGAATCTACTGAGAAAACAATGCTGCTTGGCTGCTGTGTAAATGCTGGTCCATTCAGGGCACCACTATCTGTGGGAAGCAGAAAATAAACTCAGTTAGACAGAAGGCGAAAACTGATTTCAAAATAGACAATTAGTCAAAGAAGGCAACAGACGAGCAGTGGCAAGCCATTAGAGACACAAACCACAGGCAGACAAAACATATCAATTAATTCTTCTGTCAAAGTTCCACAGCAATAATGAGAATTACTTACACATGCAACTTTGCGATTCAAGCCATATCAAGATTAAATCTGATTTATCGCTACGGCCAACCAAAAACATTTTAATTTGTCCTTTCTTAACATGCCCATTTCTCAAACACATAATGTTTGCACTCAAATTAATATGCAATTAGACCTCCTTTAAAGCATTTAGCACCTCTTGACTACAGTTTAGCGTTCTTTCAAAATGCCACAAGAAAATTGACATGTCTGTATTAATTCAAAGCATGCCTTGTGTTCAGAGGCTTCCTGATGTGCTTAGAAAGACTCTCTCTGCTTGACTTACCAAAGGCCTCACAGCAAACAGGCAATGAGTATAATGGCTAAGTGACAGTTTTAGTAATCATTGTACCTTTGGCCTGATCAAATCTGATTTAAGTTTTATACACCACATTGCCCAGCCAATTGGTACCCATATATCAACCTCATACTAAAACCGTGTCTTCCATGGCTGCATGCTGTGGTAATTTGCACATACACTGTTTTATACTGCTGGTATTTCAGTGTATAATTTGATACCCAAATGCCAAAGAAATACATCACTCAACACATCTTATGATCATTTCAACCTATGCGTGAATCTGGAGTCTCACCTTTGAATGACAAGTAATTTTACAGAAACCTGTGATGTCTATGAGCAGCCACTGAGCTGAAAAATGCATGTAAAAGCCAGGTATGATGATCTTGTGAAATGAACTGTTGTTGATAATACTAAGGGACAAAGAAATGAAAGGGAAGGCAAAATACAGTAAATTATAAATAATATCAGCTAATAATTATATACTGTATATGAAGTTAGGATAATTATCTTATAGTGTTATTAGTATGTTCAACATGTCTATTGCTTTGCATTAATAATGGGCCTTTCTTCTCATTGATGCACAACTGGAATGGTTTAATTTAATTCCTTTGTGATTAAAATTGTTTAATAACTAATAACTTGTGATTATTAGGAAACAAATACACAATAATTTTCAAAATCTGGACTAGATGATCTTCAACAGTTGACATGTAATTCCTATTAACCACAGAGGTCATTTGGTTTGTACTAAACTATTTTTTTCACAAGTGTTAAGTTTAGAGGAGATGTTTATAAAAATGTACTTTAAAAGTAAGAACATCTTCCGGGTGTCTACATTTAAGTAGTTCTGAAATGTGCAGGACCTAACAAAAGAATTCTAGACACCCAGTACCTGTGTTTCAGGTACTGTATGCTCACTCCATTAAAAATAGATTATTTTGCTTGAAAAGGTACAAGGAAGGCATCCAAACTAATCTCAAGATGAACAAAAACAAAGTTCATTATAAGGACAAGTGAAAAGAATGACAGTGCATCTTCCCACACAGATATTCTTAGTGTTTTCACAGCTCTTAAGATGCTCAGATAACAGAGTTCAAAACCAATGCTGTATTTCAAACACAGCACAAAAAGAAAGTCAAAGAAAGTACAATAACTACCATAACATAAGAACACTGAATGTTTTCATGAGGAAGACTGGTAAGTCAATCGTCCACAAAAAACAAAAAACATCAACATACTGAAGTGTCAACATATCATGATTATTCTAATATTTGCAGAGAAAGTTGAAGTTTTAAGGAAAAAAAAATCCCTTAGGAAGTTTAAATAAAACACCTGAAATTCTTTATGTTAACAATGTTGTACATTTTATAAAATACTGACAACTTTGAAAACAAAAAAAAATACGTAAACTCTACTAAACAGCAAAAGTAAATTGCTCCAGTCAGTGACCATGGGCATAGAGATCTGAATGCAGCTATATTCCAAGGCATGTATTTTAACACTAGCAGCAAGAGGAACAACCGGAGGAGGCGCTTCAGGAAATGGAAACCCTCCCCCCCGAGACCCAGGAAACGGAACCCCCCTCCCCCGAGTCCCACGGACAAAAGGAGGAGGCAGCCCAGGAAGAGGTAACCCCCTCCCCCGAGGCCCAGGGACAAAAGGAGGAAGCAGCCCAGGAAGAGGTAACCCCCTCCCCCGAGGCCCAGGGACAACAGGAAGAGGCACCACAGGAAGTCGGAACCTCCCCCCCCCGAGGCCCAGGAACAACAGGTAGAGGCAGCCCAGGAATTGGAGCCCCCCTCCCCCGAGGCCCAGGAGCAACTGGAGCCCCCCGAAACTCCCAGAGAAAGGGAAGAAAGGAGTCTTCCTGAAGCGGTGGCAGAGAGTATAAGAGTATCCTCGAGGACGACGAGGATTATTTCGAAGCCGCCCTGGAGCCCGGACTGATGGTAGGGCTGGACCTGTCCAGCATGTTTACTTTTCAGTCCCCAGCGAAACCTGGAGGGAGCCCAGCATATTCCCCCTAGGACCCGAACGAGAGGAGTTACATCTAGGCTAAACAGTGCCCAG